TATTACAAAAATCCCAAGGAAATTCATAATGCCCTTCCACCTCTCGCCATCAATGATTGCATGTGGCATTGAATGAGCCTCCTCCATCTGAAAGATATTGGGAGCTCCACATCAGTAGCCATGCATATTGCAGGAGAACCTTCTTATGCAACTAATTGATAACAGGTAATGTGAATTTGATATATTAATTTTACCTGAAAAATTCCTGAATTTTGGCGCCTATAATTTTGGGACACCCTGTACGTGCGTCCAAGGCGGCAAATCGCCCGGCGAGATTCGTAGCGGTTTGGACGGATTCGGCTACTTTTATTGGGCCGTATGTCGTTTGGCGCGACCCCTCCTATCGCGCCGCCCATTCGACGCGGTTTGCAAGCTGGACAACTCGTCCAGGTGATCGGGCAACCCACGGATCTACAAGCATTCTGCCTACTTGCACCGATTAGCATGATCAAAAGGTTGAATTACCTGGAGAGTTGTCCAGTTCGGAAATCGCGTTGAATGGGGGCGTGATGGGAGGGACCGCCCCTAACGACCACCTCCCTTTTTATTGGGCACAAACTCGAAGTAGAGTAGCGTCAGCCGATTCTACCATTCTATACGACTTCAAATTTGGGCCCCAGTGATAGGCGCTAAAGTCGTTCAAATCGTCGCGAGTTTCGCCGCACAATTTGCCGCGCGCATCCTCGGACGCACGTCAAAGGCTCTAATTGTAAAAGCATCAAAAGATGCTGTAGAGCTACCTGGAAATCGTGGTACGTCTAACTCAAAGAAACAAACAGTCTCTCGCTAGTAGCAGTATGACGGCTGTAATCTCCTTCTTACTCCGGTCCATCCATCTGCCTCCTTCGAGTGTATGTCGACTGGCACGATCCTTCCCAGTTCGACACGGTTTGCGAGATGGACAACTCGTCCAAGCACCATGAAAAAACCAACTAGATGATGTAGAAGGGCAGAATTCAAGCGGATCTGCAATTCAGCGCCTAATAGCAGTCGCGACATCGGTCTGGCTTCTATCAACTGGAGAGGCAGTGGGTTGCCCGATCACCTGGACGAGTTGTCTAGCTAGCAAACCGCGTCGAATGGGCGGCGCGATGGGAGGGGTCGCGCCAAACGACCCGCTTCCCGCCTTCTTTCAATCCAAATCAAAACCCCCTGCATTTCCTGCCAACCGGCCTGTAGCTTGCTTGTAACAGTTTCTGTTTCTCTGTCCATTTACTTGTATAGTCTTATTTTCTGTCAAGTACCATCAACTCGGTTGCTTATTGTTTGTTGTTATGGGGCCTGATAATGGGCATTTTCAAAAGATGTTCAAATTTCAGTGCAAACGAGGACTTCGACTCGTCATGCCGCAGCAATTTAGTAGTCTACAGTACTGGAGAAATCAATTGGATCCCACCTGGGATATTCAAGATCAGTTGCAAGATGGACATAACAATGTTTCCATTCGATGAGCAGGTAATCGATAAATTATTTCGGTGAGAGTGGGCAAGTGGGGGGGGGGGGGGGGGGTACGCCTTTTCTAACACTGAGCGCTGGGAAAGGAAAGAGTAGGTTACGCATATTGTGCTATATTCCACGAGAGCTGACTAGAAAGCTAACTAAAGCATAACACGTGACGAGAGGCTCAACCCAGACAACCAGCTAATGATAAGATATGGCGCAGCGAGTCAACTAACTAAGCCTGTTCATAAGGCACGGCAGGCTATGAGACAACTATCTACACATTGCTGGCTATTGTGGAAGTTTCTTTGATCCCAGTCAATATAATAAACAGTTCAATCACCGTAGTTATTGGTTATATGACTTATATAGACCTGTTCACTGAAGTTCGGCTCATGGACGTATCATGGCTTCGCGTTGGATCTCCTGATTGACACATCAAATAAAGGTTTTCATTGGACTTTTCTCGAATCAGTTGGTTGTATTTACTATGGGGCACTTTCTTGTTTCCGATGAACAGTGTTGTTCTAACTTATATTTCAGTACTTAGTTTAGAACCACCAATAGACACATCTACATACATAGCTAATGGCGAATGGGATTTAATTGGTACTTCAGCCAAGAGAGAAGTGTCATTCTACAAATGTTGTCCGGAACCTTATCCAACTCTCAAGTAGGCACTACTAGTCTTTACTACAGACTTGAGTAATCGTAATGAAGCTCTGACAAATGGAAATTTCAGTTTCCATCTATATTTGAAGCGCAAGTCATTTTATCATATCTTCAACATTATCGTTCCATCGATGCTGATTTCTGGCATGACATTGCTCGGCTTCTGTCTGCCACCGCACGACATGAGCGAGAAAATTGGTTTCCGTAAGTTACTAGCAATTAGTGTTACCATTACTTCATTGCTCTCCAGTAATTTTCTTTTTTTATTCTTCGTGGTCACTTCCGTAAAACCATCAATACTGCTGTAGGAATCACCAATAGGTCTTATTGGGCCTATGACTTCATACATAGTACAACAACAGATTATACAGGTTTCTCAAATAGANCTTCTGTCTGCCACCGCACGACATGAGCGAGAAAATTGGTTTCCGTAAGTTACTACCAATTAGTGTTACCATTACTTCATTGCTCTCCAGTAATTCTCTTTTTTTATTCTTCGTGGTCACTTCCGTAAAATCATCAATACTGCTGTAGGAATCACCAATAAGTCTTATTGGGCCTATGACTTCATACATAGTACAACAACAGATTATACAGGTTTCTCAAATAGAAGGAACACTGAACCTTCACGGGCATTTTGTCATGCAAACAATTCACCCAAATAAGTTAGTGGGAAACCCGACGGGGATGGCAGTGTTGTTACTGCACCACTGAAACCATGGATCTGGTAGTTTTTCCTGTTCTTCGATGCTTTGGATCTCCAAGCGTTACCTCTGAAGTTGCGAAAGATCATCACTTTTTCTCTGAAGCCCCTAAGAATACTAATCATCTGCAGTGCTGCGAAAAAATTAATGATCTATTCGGAGGTTAAAGACAACCACGCTGTCATACGGGCAGAAGTGTACATTTGTTGTCTTCTGTAGGGTGTTTCTATATATAATGAAAAATGGGACTATATATTACTCCATCTTTACAGAGACAACTATCTTATTGTCCGTTTGTTTCTTTTTGACGATTTTATCAGAAATGACTCCGACAACTTCGGAATCAATTCCGCTACTAGGTAAGACGCCTTTAGGTTCATATGTTAATTTGTTTATTTTGATGATAAATGATTATAATTTCTTCTGATTTCTGGATTCTCTACTACTCGGAGAACACGTAATTATATTTCTATTCCTGATCACATTCGCAGGAGTTAGGCATTGTCTCAAGCGTTCTTTTTTGAGCTGTTCCATGGTGCACCGATTTCATTCCATTCAATAATACTGCCTAATCCTCACCACTTCGAGCATTCATTTGCTAGTAGTGTTCTCATTTTCGTGATCTTTTTCAGGTGTGTTTTTCTCATCGGTAACCCTAATTGTTGCCATGTCCACAACGTTCACTGTCTGTGTACTGAATCTCCGCTATCGACAATATGCAAATCATAAGTTTCCTCCGATGGTCTGATTATTGGTTGTTTTATAAATAAAAGCACCTTATTTTAACAATATATTTCAGATCCGCTTCATTTTTCTGCAATTCATACCGTGGATTATGCTCATGAAACGTCCAGGATATCGGTTTTCGTGTGCCAAAGCGCTCGATGAACAGAAGCTTGAAGAGTCGACATCATGTGTACAGGTTTGCTAAGTCGAATAAAGTCAATACGTGGATAATCTTTTGTTGTAATGAGTACTATCCTTCGCAATCACTACTGACCAATCGATACATGCCCTAAATGTGCATGCGCTACTCTGGGTATGGTCTTAACATAAATTTGGAAACAGCCGAACGCTATTGTTACTATTATAACTTCAAACAGCGCTCTCCATTTTTCCTTTTTTTGATAGGTCACCGTCTCGAGAGCTGTTACTTGATATAATTAATAATATGTTCTTCTTTCTTGATGACGTTTTCATCACATCCGCTTTACAATCACCCCTGCCAATTTGCCAATTTTGCTTGGCATCCGTATATGATGCGTAACCCCTCACTCATAAACTACCCCAAATCTACTAGCAATAGCAAAGGAAAACATGTGCACTGTGTTACCTTTATGACCCAGAACAAGCCTGCTTTGCGAGCAGTTCCAAGCTGTGTTCAATCCGCTACTATCCCTTTAAGCCGGTTTAGCTCTAACCTAAAAACCTTGTTTCTTAAGGGATACTGTTTCCAAATTACCATTTTCAAACAATTTCAGTGCGCTTCACGCAACTGGAGTGAACAGCTATTGGAGCGATGTGAAGAGGAAGGTGTTGACAGCATTGAGAAAGTAATGCAGACAACGTTGGAACAGTTACCTGGCGAAAAGCTCGAGTTAACACGAAAAGTCGGAGAGGTGAGGCACCGACTTCTTCTCATCTTTGAGAGGTGCCTACATGTAGATCAGGTGGTCACCAAGTTAAGGTAATGAAATAATGAAATAATAACTTCAAATGAAAATGCAGTCCTAGAGTCAAAAGGAGATGGAATGATCTCATATTGCCTTTATGTTTTAAGGGTCTGTTTGTTCATCGAAAATGTGAGAGCACGAAGAAACATCTGGCAGAACGTTGTGAGAAATATGTGAACACGATCATGAAACAGTATTCTGCAGAAGGTATCATAGTCAGCCCTACGACAAATAATACTAGAAGCGACAGGGCGCATTCATAGTACTGAGGTACTACGAATGCGTCCACTTCTGCTGCTATCGCGTACACTTTAGTATTGGTAATAGCTATATTGTATTCGGTGAACGAATTGTGAGAGAGGAGTCAGATCATTTTTGCGTTGCTGTGGGTATACTTTTAGTAAATGAAAGGTGTTGGTATAGAGACATCATGGCCTCGNGAGACAGGGTAATCGCGTGAAGCGATAGTAACCGGTCCAGTCAAGGCCTTTCGTTTTTAATGAGTTCTACTAGTAAGGTAGGGATGGATCAGTCGTGTCTAGCCAGACGCCTGACAATAGGAGCGGGGTCCTGGTTTCGGGCGTCTCCGTACCCATACCGAAATGAAAGGACGATATTCTGAAAAATGTGCGTAGTAGCAGTAGCTGTCAGTCGCTTTCTCCTACAAATCTTTGGATAGTTCGTGAATAGGGATAGACACGGAGAATTATTTGGATAGATTTACTCATCTTTGGAACTGATTCCAGGTCCTTCCCCCAAATGGCATTCCCAAATTGTCATGCTTGATTTTTTTGTGGCCATTTCAAATCAACTTCGTAACATCCGAAAGTGCCTTGATAGAAACGTTGCTGAGCGAGAGAATTTGGTGAGTTTTAGGTGTGAAATGAATCGGCTAAGAGGTCGAAAAACTGCAAGTTTTACTGGAATAATTTCCAGTTTAGAATAAGTATGAGAGTCATTTCTGTTGCCATAAATGCTTTCGAGACTACAACAGGAAATTTGCGAAAAGGTTCTTAGCCGGAAGAAGTTTATCCCAATGATTTCAGGAGGATTGGAAATTTGCTGCCATGGCGCTAGATCGTCTATGTTTAGTTATGTTTGGTACTTTATTATTTGCATGTGTTTTCGCCGTATTTTTTGTCCATCCCAATTATGATCTTATCAATGTTTCTTAGCTGAATTTTCTCTTCACAATCAGTAACTTTTCCAATAAATTTGATTTGCAAGTTCCGAGTCATTTCCATTGTATACAAGGTGAAGATAGTGTGGTTGAAAGGGGAATTTTTAACGAGTAAGCTCAGATTGAATCTCATATTTCCATCCAAGGCCCTGTTGATCTGAGATACCACTGTATTTCCAGGCATGTGGCGGAATACATTTGTGATTCCGAGTACAATTTGATGCATAGCGCTCGCCTAGTACCTCTGTGAATGATTTTCACTACCCCTTTCCCTCCATTTAGTTCCTGATCTAGTCGGTCATGTATCATTGTTTTCAATGAGTTCTTCGCAAATGTCTAGCTTTAATGTTTTGTAATGTAAAGGGAAGTGAAAAACAATATAACTTAATGAGTCGAATTAAAAGTAGTATAGAAAGAAGTATTTCATTGGAACTTGCGATTTCGTGGTACTCCGTGCCCAGATGCTGGAGAAGTTGAAGATGTGGGTTTTTTCTGACAATTTTTTCTTAGCAGGACCAACCATTGAACAGGACTTTATATGAGTAGCATTAAGGTTTTCCAACGGGATGTGATCAAAAGTCATCATACGGAATGGAAGACAATGAAACGGTGGAAGGGGGGCGACGACAACGTGGTAGAAGCTTCAAAAGCGAAATGTAGGTGAAACTGATTTGCTTGGCTGTGAAGTTTTTCTTTCTTTTGTTCATTTTTTCCTTACCCTTTCCTTTAGATTTCTGAGTTGGAAAGTTCTCTACGAGCTAAGTGCCGATTTTCTGACCGAATGAATCTATAATGGTAGTTTATCCCTTTCTTTGACTCTTTCATGTGTAGTTTCGATAGAGAATGTTCGCGGTTGGCGGAAACTGTATAGTGTATTTCTCCGAGATTCGCCATCATCACCAGCTCGGCCAGTTATTCTAAAAGCTCTCTAACTCTTGTTTTCCGAATTTTCCTGGAAGGCCAGGCTCACCCATTGTTGTCGGCATGTTTTGTTCATGTGTGTATTGTCCTACTGCACCGGATTCACCTCGTGGCCCAACTTCACCTGCCTTACCAGGAGGAGAATTGCCGCGTTTTGCTGCTGCTTCTGTGCTGATAATTTTTCACAGAAAGTCTGATGGGCCGACCTGCGAGCCATGCAAATTCAGGCTGTGTATTCGTTGCGTGCATTGGTATCAGTACCGTCTCCATCAGAGAGGCCTGGTTGGTCATCGTTTTCCATCGTTTCCTGGTTGCCTTATNCCAGTTATTCTAAAAGCTCTCTAACTCTTGTTTTCCGAATTTTCCGGGAAGGCCAGGCTCACCCATTGTTGTCGGCATGTTTTGTTCATGTGTGCATTGTCCTACTGCATCGGATTCACCTCGTGGCCCAACTTCACCTGCCTTACCAGGAGGAGAATTGCCGCGTTTTGCTGCTGCTTCTGTGCTGATAATTTTTCACAGAAAGTCTGATGGGCCGACCTGCGAGCCATGCAAATTCAGCTGTGTATTCGTTGCGTGCATTGGTATCAGTACCGTCTCCATCAGAGAGGCCTGGTTGGTCATCGTTTTCCATCGTTTCCTGGTTGCCTTATGAACCATGAAGTTGGTTGGAGTGGATGTCATGCCATTGTTTGAAATTGTTGTAGTTTCCATCCCATCCCCATCATAGGTGGTCTGGAACAGGGCAGAATTCGCAACATTTTGATTGATCTGTATCTATCCAGATCGAGAAGAATAGGTACCGAATTTTGTCTGAAATTATCTTTCACCGCCGCTTTTCAAAAAGTTATTAAGGTGATGCGATGAAATTATGCTGCGAAGTGATCGATATTTTCCGGTTAACGGATGGTTGTCAGCATTGACATTCTACACGACGAGATGACTATCTGAGACAACCGGCTAACAGGCATGGCGCGAGGCGAGGCAACTAACTAGGGGTAACCGAGCGGGTATGAACCGTCATTGTTCACCCCATTGTTTCAAAGATACAATGATCCCGCACTATTCAACATTTGATGACGCGTATAAGTAATATAACCAAAAATTATTCCAAAAATGCGTACCTACATGCCGATAGCTCCTACCTAAATGTGCCTTGCCTCTATAATTTTTTGACAATGATCTTTCTTTCATTGTTCGTTAAAAACTGTACAGTACCCGCATTCTAATTTTGGAGTTATCTCGAAAGCATGGTGAGCGAACTTTTGAATGGCGTCAAAGCAGAACTAAAAAATTTGTTCGGAATACTGATGGTGAGATAGATTACAGTACCATTTGGAAATCCAGTTCACAGAGACGTGTCAGCAACACTCACAATTAGTGCTTTATGAGTAGTAATGTTACAGGTTCCACTGCACTCTCATTCTTCTTTCTCAATCTTATCTCGGCAAGACCGACCTGTTTCGGTCTCGAAGGCCGCATAAAACCCGTCCCGGAACTACTTTGTTCTTCAGTCTGCTTTTAGTGTTTCTTACAACAGTGCTTTGGACGATTCACAACTTCTGTGTCGGACCTAATAATTACCACAACTTATGGGTCGTTATTTGGGTGGTTTCATTGTGAACGACTTCTTTTATTGACCACTATCGTCGAGAGAAATAATGATCACCCACAAGAATTCTACCGTTCAAATTTATGCCTTTCTAATTTAACTGACATTATAGAAGTTGGGAGCTCGTGTTGAGACCAAGTGAGACCGTTCGTATGCTTGTCATGTTTTCCCCCTCTATGCTGGAAGAGGCCCTTCAGCTTGCAGATTATGCGGTCCTCTGGCCAAGTCCAATACAAAGATCGTACTCTCATCGTTGCCTATACAGGCATAAGCCTCTGCTTGTTGGTGGCGATCTGGTTATCTTTCAGTATTTTTGCCGACGCCAGTAAGTTCCAATCCGAAGTGGAGGAAGATCTCAGGAAGTTCAGGGTAAACACTGATTCTTTGCTAGTGTTTCTACTTTGTTCTGTACAAAATCTGGTGGGCTGATTTCTTTTCAGATTGATGCCAACGACCTCTGGTTGGAACTGCGGAAAACTCGAACCGGAGATTCATCATTTTGGACATGGCGCAGAACAAGAAGGCAAGCATCCTATGTGTTGTCTGGAGAAACTTCCACATCCCAGTGCTCCTGCGCGCCAATGTCGCAGTGTCCTCCAGGCCCTCCTGGGCAACCAGGACCTGATGGCTTTCCTGGTGAACCTGGTCTACCAGGGATTGATGGAGAACCTGGACGAAGTGGAAGCGCTTTCCTTTCAGGCGCCGACAGCAGCTGCATCAAATGCCCTGCTGGTCCACCAGGATCTCCCGGAGAGACAGGACCACCTGGTCCAGCTGGTAGTCCTGGTGCGCCTGGAATTCCTGGTGATGGTGCTGCTGCAGCACCACCTGGTCCACCGGGACCTCCTGGGCCAGAAGGCTCACCTGGCAACTCCGGATCTCCAGGTCTACCTGGTACACCTGGAAACGATGGGCAAAGAATCCAGAGTTTGGCGGGGCCGCCTGGGCCAATAGGCCCGCCTGGTACTCCTGGACTTCCTGGCCTTGACGCACCGTTTTCAGCTCCTGCACCTGCAGGTCCTCCGGGACCACCTGGATCTCCTGGAAAACCGGGTATTCCGGGATTGAATGGTGTGCCGGGTAATGTCGGATTAGCTGGCGCTCCTGGGAACGATGCGTCTTACTGTCCATGTCCCGAACGGGCGAGGCAACAAGAACATCCAGAGGCGCCAAGAAATACTAATGAAATTCACACCTTCGTGGCGCAGACACAACCGAAACCGCCTCCTTCATTGAGCGAGGCTACAAAGGAGTCCATCCGAGGGGAAGCGTTTATTTTGAAATTTGACCAAAACCATTAAATAGTTTTTGTAGCGTTAAGGTATTGATGGAGATTGTTTAGTTGCGGAGTAGTGTATATATGGTTGTTTAGCTCTTTGAAATGAATATTTTCTGAGAATCTGGAAACTTTTCGTTCTTGTATGAGTCTTACACTCAACTTATGGATGGAAAAACGAATCTTATTACTGTACAGTTGACAAGAAACAGTGTTAGACTGTTCCCCTACGAGATCCGGTAACACCGCCTCTTCTTTCACAAGTGGTGATTTGTGCGGAAGTGTGAAGTTCTATAGTACTTTTAAGCGTCTTAAGACGTCATGGTAAACACGGTGCTACAAAATACTTTTGTCAGTGCACGTGCCAGACTTTATATCCGCGCGGCATGCCGCGCTCGTCACGCCCGGCGCGTGTCGTAAGAGTTCAATGGTGGCTTTCAGACTTAACGATTCAACCGACATCCGTCAGTTCGTCGCGTGCGTCGGGCAACGGGGATTCTAGACAGGTGTTGAGAGCGCTGATACCTATCGGTACCGCAAGACAGGAATGACGAACCGCCGTCGCTGCACGCACGCGATGAAGGGATGTTTGAATCGTTGAAGTCCGAAAGCAACCAATGGGTGTTTATTTTCATTGCAGTTTGATGTCGCAAGAAAACTGTCAAAGATTTGTTGCGATATGTCCACGTTCTTGCCAATTGGGCTGATATATCGCTACCCTGAAAAAAGGGTGGTTGGAGAGCACAATGTCCAGGTTGGCGAGGTTATCCATCATTTTTGAGAAGAAGTGATAATTATAAACTACATTTATTTTATGGTTCGTGTGCTGAAATGCCCAGTTACAGGAGCAGTGAGGAATACTGCAGAGATTGGATGACAGGGACCATGCTAGGATTGATCTTGTCCACGAATTTTCCTTTGATCCCATTCCTTATCTTGCATAATGGAGTAGGACTGTATAGCAACCATGTTAAGAAAACTATGGCAGCCCACGATTTTCCAATGCGTATATTCGGGTGGAGATTTTGAGCTAGTCTGATTTTTGAATTCATTGCTTCGTTAGAAATCTCCTTTGAGGCTTAAGGCCTCGGTAGCGATGAATAAGCATAGTTGAGAATGACCATAGAGGCGAAATAATGTGTATCTAACTTCTCGATTTCGGTCTATATTTTCTCCGGATCGAATCCTACAAAAAAGAATGTCTATAGACTGCAGCCGGTTGCTGTCGTTAGCTGATAGGCTGTCACAAACGGTTCTTTTTCACAGAGGTAGGGCGGGGGACGGTGAAGTCGTGCGTCCGAGGGCGCGCGCGGCAAATCGCGCTGCGAAGTTCATACCTATTCTAACGACTTTAGCGCCTATTATTTGGGTCCAATTTTGAAGAACAGTAGGATAGTAGGGTCAGCTGACTTTAATAATCTACCCTACTTCAAATTTGGGCCCCAATGATAAGCGCCGCAGTCGTCCAAATTCGCCACGAACTTCTCCGCGCAATTTGCCGCGCGCGCCCTCGGACGCAGGACTTGACACACACACCCACATAGGGCAGCAATGGATTCGCTGTGAACGCAGTCCTTTTTTGCTAGGATCTTTGACCATAACTGAATTACATCGTTTACTAAATACTGAGCAATAGCCCACGAAATCAGCGAGTTTTTGAATTTTACGAGCATTGGCATAGTGCACAACTTGGCAAGGTTTTTCTCAGAATATTTTAATAACACAAATCTCTTTCTGCACAGTGAATTGTATTCCAGGTATTCTGAGAATTCCGAAAAAAACTAAATGAGAAAATACCGCTGATCGAGCCCTTCGCTTTGTTGCTTTTAAACATTCTTTGGGCACACAATGGAGTTATCTAAGAGTTACTGTCTAATAATTTTTTAAATACCGTGTGCATGGCGGGTTCTGAAGGAACAAGCTGAACCGTACGATGGGTTTGTGACAGCTTATTGTTTCTATTGATATCGGGCCTGATTCCAATGATATTCATGCTTGGTTTTCACTCGTATCGCAAGCTTTGTTTATATATGGCGATAGCATTCCAAACGCATGATGCCCCTCGAGAACGTCGTCGCACTTCACTGGACCAATTTGGTGCTCACTTTCCTGATAGTTATCGCTTTCACTCACATCCATATCAGGTCAATATTTTTGGTACTGTTTTTTCTAATCATTTTTACTAGTATTTGCCGCAGCAGTTTTGAAAATTTATCCATGGAATACCAAAAGAAAAAGCATACTATCGCATCTGAACTTTGAACAAGTATAGTGACTAAGTGGTTCGCATTTCTCTTTCTATAATCCCAATATGTGCAGCGCAATTCACGTCCATCCAAATTGCTAAAATGTCATAACCCTATAATTGATTTATGCAGCAAGAACTTGCCCATACTTGCTTCAGCCATACTTCCTATAGATTTCGTGTAGAGGCTAAAAATATGAAGACTCCAGCACTGATCAGTTGCTCTCAAATTCGTAGTGGTTTTTATAGCGTCTTTTGCTTACACATCGACATGCGGGATCGAAACTGGTACCAATTTGTAGTCTTTGGAGTAGTGCAAGGGTTGGTAACTCTAAGCATAGATCCTAGATGTGATCCCTGTAACTTATTATGGTGTTTGCACTACTTGTGAACATTGATTCCAATGCTTCCGATTTTCCTCTGTTCAGAATAGCTGAAGTGGAAAGTCGGTGTCGATCTCAAGAGGTGAACGAGCCTGCGGCAAAAGAGAACGGCAATGACCGACAGAAACGTCAGATTAGTCTGATCAATGCAACCAGGAATGGAAACCATCTCTGGATGTCCTCAATGTCTCGAATCAAGGTTCAGATAATTCAATGAATCTTCCTGTCCTGACTTACCGAAACGTCCTAGCCTCCATGACTGTTCAAATAGTAATTTCTATTAGAAACGCTATTTGTAAGTTTTTCATAGTTATACCATGTATGTAAGGTGAATCGGCACTGGATGCGAACGCTTTTCAGAAAAACAAGGTATTCTCTTTTTTTTCTGCCGCCTATGTCGCGCTTACGGCCTGTATTGAAATCTCACAAAGATCTTCTATTTCATCAAAAGGTTGCTCAGGGCCTACAAACCTCTCGAAAATGTTCTGACTTTCTTAGTGGAAGTCGTTTTGTCTGTCTATGTTGTACAGCCTTTGTAGGTGTTACATATGTAGGTGTTACGTATCTATTGATCTCGGTCAGTCAGCAAAATGTTTTTGACTTGTCCCAATTCAGGCTGGAGGATTAGTTGAAAAATGTCTGGATCTACACCAATACTGTACCAGTATTGACAGCTCCGACCGAGGTCCTCCTGGGCCGCCGGGACCCCGAGGTCCACCTGGGTGAGGCGACAGAAATATTTCTTGCATTTACAGTTGCGTTTACTATGCACGCGAAGTACTACGTTTCAGAACCCAGCCGAAACGCTCTGAGCTGTTTACTAGTTTTTGTTTGATCAGTTCTACCGTTAATTACTAGACTGTTTTCTATATTTCATTCTGTCCATGTATTTTATAGAAAAACTGGCTCCCCTGGCCCTGTTGGGCGTCCGGGTCTGATGGGCGTGCCAGGCCTACCTGGACCACGAGGTAAAATCCCTAGCCTAATAACGAACAGTGGAAGAATCTTAGAAATTTTTCTAGGGCCGCCAGGTCCTCCAGGTCAGGATGCTGTATGCCAAGAATGCCTTGTAAATGAGGAGTTTCTCATGCAGAAGTCTATGGATTGTCCCAAAGTAAGTTTTAGTTGCCCATTCTCGTGAAATTTTGGAATAGGATTCTCCTAAATTACGACTTCTTGTTCAGGTTGAAGAAGTGAAGTGCTCAGAGAAGACGTCTGTGGATAATATGATAGGTCCGAAGCTGATAGATCGAGCTCTACCATCGATAGTAGCACAGGTATAGCTGTGTATATGCACATCTCCATACGAACTGAGGCTTAAAGTAGTGTGTAGCGTACATTTTATGAACGGGTCAGTAAGTCAATCAACAAGGTAACTTTGCTGCGTAGAATTACTGCAGAACACATCCTAACAATTCCCTCCAGTGAGCCTGAATCTAGGCTCATGACTGTTGTTCAGTAAAACCCATTGCAGTAAACAAAAAAGTTCGCGCTCTGTTAGCGAGTGGGTATTCTCGTTATAACGGCAATTCCTTCAAAGTCCCAATTATAGTCTAGGAACAAGTCCAAACAGTGCCTTGAAATGAGTTCAACTGTATTTCAGATGATTCTGAATAACTCAGATATAGAAACGTGCTTGAAAGTCTGCATGGGTAACATGACTACTGAACTGGAACAAGAACTAGAAACATCTACCGAATCCGCTTACATCCAAGGAGCAACTGCAAGTTAGCATTTTCAGTTGTTAGCCGTGCGGACTTTTCCGTATCAGTAAATATTGTAGCTCTAGACAAGTAAGAATTGCTTCAGATTGTAAACTGCAATCGGTCGGTAAGCCCGTGTTCCATTCACATACTACAACGTATTACGGTAGCTGGATGCGGGACGCCTATCCAAGAACAGGAGATGTATGTAATGTAATATAGTAAATGTTCTTTATACAAATTTACGACCATGTGCAAGTTTTCAGGATATGCTGAAGCGTTACCTAGTTAATCACTTCCAAGGGATCGAAGTCGTCGAGTTTCGTACGGAGGCGGATCTCCGGCGCGAACACGTTAGCAATGTGTAGGTTATTCGGCCACCTTTCTAGCCTCCACTGATTTTACTTTAGTTTTCCCAAATCGATTTCTCAAGAAGTAGACTTTCACATACGCCCTATCTCCAATTGACAGTAATAGCTGGTGACTGATCTGGTCACTATACTTTATCCGGTTTTGTTCGGATCCACTCGATTCTGTCCCGTACTGATCCTGCATTTTGAGTGTAGTAGTGGTAGCGCTTTGGCCACAGGCTGGGCATCGGTCGTGCTCAGTCTATGGATTGAGTGCCGCAGTTGCCAGTCAAGTTTGTTTCACTATTTCTGACTTTTTGGTGCCAGACATTTCCATGAGCTTTTCGAAGACTTGCCTCTACACTGGTTAATTCCCTTGCACTTGAAATGCTCTGAAAGATATTGATGGCAGTCAAAGGCTTCGCATGCCCTGAAAGAGAGCGATAAGCATAAAGCATTTACCCTTAACCCGTTATTCTATGCGTTGTGGTCACTAATATATACTTGTAATATTTACTTGTGTGCACAATCATTCCACTTATTATTGTAATCTAGTTACCGTCTTCCGTATGTTTACGATGGCACGAACCACATGTTGTTCAATGGTTCGCTATTCTTTCATCGAGCCGGTTTTCCAAGGATAGGTAAGTTTGAGTTGACTACAGGACGCTACGATGAGATCGAAATTCCTGGAGCCGCTTATCACGGTAACAATGTCAGTTCTTGACTGGGTATTGATTTGATAAAACCTGTAATTTTTCGAACCTAAAAAAGTTCTTTCTAGTATCTTTTTAACAAATCATTGAACTACTTCGATCTGGCCATCGACGAAAATGCGCTCTGGGTCCTATACCACTATGAGAAAGAGAAGTTTCTCAGCGTAGCTAAGGTGAGCTACTTGTTTCGGCATCGCAAACCCTTCGGAAAAGTGCTTTCTCTTTCATTTTTCGACAATCACCGGACTGCTTTGGTCAAACTGTGGCGAAAGCTTTCATGCCACTGTCCATCGAATGGCACCACTCGCCAGAACCATATCATATTTCTATTTCCGACATACAGCTTAAGGAATTCCTAAAATCATCTAAGTCTAACCTCCGCTGGTCGTTCTCGTAGATACTTATCCCATTTTGATTAATCGTTAATGCGTCGAAGGAATTCGATATAGCACATCCTCTCATTCCTGCAAAATCGATGGTTTTCCATGCGTTAAGCCATTGGCATGTTAGGGCTAGAAACAAGTTCATGGTTGTGAAATATTTGTTTTTTCTCTATTATTTCTCCTCATTCTTGTGGAATCCAAGCAGTAAGTATCGGAGCACTTGAGGTAGTACCTGCCAGCTTGGTGGAATAGTTGGTTATTCAGTACGATTGGGAGTTTCACTTCAAGCGTCGTATAGTTGTACGTAACCATTATAAAAGTTTCGATTTTAGGTTGATATCAATAACCTGACGATTTACGAGATCCACAATTTGACGCTGATCAATCACACACAAATCGCTAATGGAATTGTAATATGTGGAGTGCTGTACACGGTGAGTTACTTTATCTGCGAAAGGAATAGCCTCATAGGAGCCTTTATCATCGTCAACGGCATTCTATGAAAGTTTGAAAAGTTCTTGAGCCCGTGCCCTTGTTGATTTACATTTATCCACTGCTCTGTGACCATCATCATAAGAATGGAAGGGTTGTAAAAGTTCTTTTGTAATTGTTATTGCTTACAGATCGAAGATACCCATGCACAGCGGTCGTACATTTCAACTGGATATGACTTCTATCGGCTCCAGTACTCTAAGCCAAATATCAGATGGATTAATCTGTATCGTAATGCTAATATGATATCGTATAATCCGTATGATAAGCGAATTTATGTCTATGATCACGGTTATCTGCTCACTGTACCGGCTCACATACAGTGGACGTCGAAATGACAAAAACACTCTTTCAGAATCGCATTTATTTTTGTATTCATGAGCTTTCCGATTAATGTATGTGATGAGCTTTATTTGTTAAGTTATAACATAAACTTTGGCTGAGTTTTTTCAGTGCTTTGTCGACAGTGTGTTATACATCACATTCCTTCTATTTATCCTTTCCTAGCTACAGTCTTTCTTCTTCATGAGTACAGTATATGTGCGAAGAGGCTTGGATCGACTCCAGTGAATCGATTATGTTCTTCAACGATCATTCGGTAAAAATGTGGACAGAAGAGAAGCAGACGGGATGGGAGTGAAAGTTCTATCCTCCTGAGCAGTCTCAGCTAGCCTCTTATGCTCTTACAGGTGAGGTAAATGTTCACAAATTAATGAGGGAATCCGAAAACTCATAGATTTATGTTAAAGAGATATCCCAAAAGATCAGCTAAACAAGCAACGCTTTGAAATTTCGAGTGACGGCAAGGTGGAGCAGTTGTGAATTCGCGTGGAATTCACTTTTTATCAACTCACCTCGGGCAGTTTTCGCTTTGAACCTCCTTTATTTGAGCAATTAAGCAGCGATATCAGTGAATTTTAATGCCTTAGTCCATTCCGAGTTGTTCTTGCCGCTGCTTATCATCTGATAAGGATCGTTCCATCACCACCCAACAATTGATGAAATTTCTTGTTGTCATAGTCCTCGCCCTCATTCCATGGTCCTCCTCCTCAAAAGATGATNTACTCACCGAAATCGTTGACAGCTTGCTGAAATCAAACCGAACAGAGCGTTATGGAGAGCCCGAGCATAAGGACATAAGTAGCGATAAGTTCGCTATGGAGATAGATGCAGCCGACTTGCACAAAGTAGAAACCATCGCTCGCACAGCTGGCTTCGTCATTGACGGCAGAGTGAGTGCAATTATAATTTTATGACATAGATTATATAGTTCAAAATTGGTGATCCTTATTACTTCCCAAAAAAGTGTCGTACATATCTTTTTGCATTGCCATTTGCACTTTTTTCCTTTTATAAGTATGAAGTAAAAAGCGAGGTGGTGGCTATTGACTGCTTTTTGCGAAGTCAAGTTACATTCATTACATTGAGCGCTAAATTGGATGGTACGTGACAGTCTGGTGGATATTTGAGGTTATCGATATTCCTGAACAGATTGGTACTCATTAAAGATCTACACTAATGAATTATTGATTATCACGAGTAGACACTATCCGCTAACCCTGCACTAGCTTTTTACTGCTTGTGTGTCTAACCGTTGAGCATATCACAGAAGCAATAGGTAATACAAAGTAGAGTACGTGTAAGGGCTCAGAAACAGAGGTGATCAATCGGTGCTGCAGTGAGTGGGGTATTTGCAAGTAGTGACTATCTGGCGAAGGCTGATAAAGGCCAAGGAACCACAGAGAACGAGGCGAACAATCACAACAGTCGATCATCATTATATCTGCCTTTTCCTCGGTGTATATAACTAAAACTGAAAAATTGCTTAATCTTCTATCTGATCTCATTTTGTCCTTTTCAATTGTAAGAAAACACCTATGGGTGTATTATGTAAAGAAATATACGTTCAGTAGCTTTTAGGAAAACTCTGAGAGACTACGTAACAAATTTCTCGTACTGTAAATGAGGTCCTACGTCTCGGATAAAATGTTGCGTTTATTTTTCTGTTGTTCTTCACCAGATTAGGACCTTCTTGTGTAATGTCTGCCAGCAGTACTTTTGCTGAGGAAATTCCAGTTTAGTTTTCTTTTGGTTATTTTGTGGTATACAAGGGCAACCTATCTTGCTCCTCCCATTTCTGAAGATGGGATACCTCTTCATTCCTCCTATTGAACAATATTATGTAAAACCTAGCCTCCGTCCCTACTAGACGGTTAGCAAATGACTAATCTCAGGTGGTTACGTAAGCTTGAAAATCAATTGATGCCATCCGTATACGGGAAATTGAAGTGACATGAGAGTAAAAATAATCCTTCAGAACCGGACTTCGATCGTGAATCAAGATTTTTCAGCTTCAATCATTTGAGAACATCTACCTAGCCAGTAAAAGGAGTCGACACAAACGGGATACCGGTGATATTGTTCAAGAGCTGATATCGCTGAAAGAGGTAAGTCGTCTTTCAGTTTGCCTATGATTAACACACCGATCTGAACATTTCATTTTACATGAACATGCATTTTCCAATTTTATGTATGAGCTTTTCATCAGTGTGAAGCTGTTGAAGTGTTTTCTAAAATAATCTCAAAATCCAACCATCCTGCCATCTCCATCTGAACTTAGTGATTACGTGGATTTAAGGTGAAATGGGCAGAACATCTAATTCCTCTTTCTCGGGAGAAGAGAACAGTGATGTTTTCGGATCCTCTGTATGCAGAGCAGCTACGTTCGGTATGATAATTTTGCATTTGAAATTTGATTTTGGTATTTTTTTTTCACACTGTAGTAGTTACTATTCGCAATAATACTTTTGCTGAATGCTTCTCGTTTGTGCCTAGTAATCGAGCAACTGTTCGTATTTGTACTCACACTCACAGCGTTAATTTAAGTGGTCCTCAACTCCGAATATGTTCATCCCAGAAGCATGGGAGAAAGGATTCAGTGGAAAAGGAGTGACTTTGGCAGTTGTGGTACGTCAATTTTTCAACAGTCAAACTTTTGATGACGTCAACATCGCACTCGGAATTCCCTCAGCTCATCAGTTTATTGGCTACTGTTGTTAACTAATTTCTTGCTCTCTTTTTCTTGCTTTTTTTCTGTGTAATTGACTAAACATCGTTTATCTCTCGCCAACTTAATAGCCAAATACTTAAGTTAAACTTATGAGTTTCTATGCTGTCTGTGATCTGTTATTGAAGGTTTACCTTTCACGACAACACATGCGAAGAGGCGAATTCAAGTGGTTATGGTGAGCTGGTCGCCTCAGACCAGCTCGTTATGCCTTCTCCTTCAAAGACATTACCTTGGATAGCTTACATAATTGATAAATAAGGATGTTTAACAATTGAGGACGACGACATTGACTCAAACCATGAAGACTTGAAGCTACCATACGATCCAAGTATCTCCTACAGTTTCATCAAAAAGCAGCCAAGGGGAACTGATGAAACGTAAGTTAGATTTCATAGATTTCTTCGCTTTTCTGGATTTACGTTGGCGTTGGTTGTGATAAGTAATCTTAATTTCGCTGCTGGGGAAAGAATGTGCTTGCGAATACTCGACTGTCACTGAATGGGTATCCTTTTTAAGAGTTACTCATTTTTGTTCTATGAACGAAGGCGAAAGAATAGAGTCCCGGTAAAAGATCTGATTATTACAACGGCCAGTTATCCTTCACTGGTACGACCAGCCACGTTCGTCTTTGTTTCTGCTGGTCATCCCCTTCATCCATCCACACACGTATTTATAGTGAGGAACAATGGTATCACTGATCATCAAGAACGTGACCTTTCATTTTCCCATATTCTTTTTCTGAAGGAGACCCTTTTCCAGACACGGTACACGTTGTGCTGGAATCATTGCGATGACAGCAAATAACACAAAATGCGGAGTAGGTGTGGCTCATCAATCTCGACTCGGAGGTGAATTGAGATATAATTTCAATCATAGGTGTTTAGCTTTTATCAATACCGTTGTGGAATCCTCTAGAAATACATCTTTTCCTCAAGTCTATTTTGTTGCTTATTTCACTTGTGCAATAACTTGCGATTGCGGGAGTAGGTGACGTGTAATCGACAGCTCCTTATTATGCCAAGCGCTGGTACCAGTCGCCACTGTGGTAGCAGGACACTTTGTGGCATCAAAAGCACAGTTCACGACGAAAATGGTTTTTGGTATTTCACCATATTATAAATTTGAGACACCCTCTCATACGATAACTGGCGTTATCATGTCGGAAAACGGCCTAGTTAGGGTGTTATAAAGGCTCAAATATTGCCTCGTGTGTATCCTGGGACGAGTTTCACCGGCATTGCAGAGGCTGCACAGATAACAAAGGAACCCGTAAAGAAAGTTCGAATAAATTGTCATGACCAATAGCGGTAGTGGAAGGTAGTTCTGTACAGTTCTGGCTTGTTGTAGTCAGCTCCTTGCGCAATTGCAACAACTGAAATCTCGTCCGTTCTTCCACTTTATTTCCATCAAGGTAATCTCGTCCAGACTCTATTTTTCCTACTTTTGAGGAGCCCCATTTTTTTTTAGTCGATAAGCGGAAGTATAGGTTGAGAATAGTTCATTGGTAGTGAAGAAAGCGAAAAAGTTCGCCGATGGGGTACCTCAAAATTATCGTGAACTGTGCCTTTGAGGAGATTTGATCAGAAATCCGATTATCAGATTATGCCTAGAAAAACATTGCTTATTGACACTATTCTGTTTTGTTTGGGCTTTCTCTTGGGAAGTTGAAATTTACATTGAACCATTTTAATCAAAGACAATCATTTCTTTGTGTAATGTTGAATGGAAGATGAAAATGACTTTCAGGGTTGACTGTGCTTGCTGATAATCATTTCCTCAATGACGCTATTGAAGGAGATGCCCTCGCATATAAGTGAGCATATTTTTTGATAAAGTATTTTGATTATTTCCTAACTTCCATTGCAATTTCAAGAGTGTAGAGCATGTTTGTGATGGTATAGTAATTTTTGAAAAAATCTGAATCAGTTGGCTACTGTTATTTCTTCTGATGAAGCAAGTAGAAAGAGCTGATTCCGAATCTGAGCTCTTCAGAAAAGCCCGCTGATACGCGCACTCGCGGCGCAACTTCCACTTATCGATGAAGTGCCGCTTTCTTTCTCTATCCGCATGTGATCTAGCGGACATAAGTAGTAGGGAACGAACTGACAGTAAAGTAATGAAACGATCACATTCGCCTATTTTGATTTAGGAGCGATCGAATCGATATTTATTCGGTGAGCTGGGGACCAAAGGACGATGGTCGATCAGCAGAACGACCAGGTACACTGGCGCAGAAGGCCATAGAGTTTGGCGCCGTCCATGTAAGGCTACAACACCTACTCACTAATTGCCTTGGCTGAATTCTGAATCGTTTTTCCGTCAGGGGCGCAAAGGACTGGGCTCTCTGTACGTATGGGCCAGCGGGAACGGTGGACTAGAGGACGATGACTGTGCTATGGATGGATATGCTAGCAACCTGCATACGGTATCTACTACGATCTTTCGTTAAGCAATCTATATATCGATGTTCGAATTTGAATTATGAGAACATAGTTTCCAGATTACCTTTGGAGTAGCGACACCCGCTGGTATTCCTCCGTGGTATACAGAAGGTTGCAGTGCCGTAATGGCAGCCATCAGCGAAGACTCTACGATAAGTAACGGGATGGTGCGTTCGTTATGAATCTTCTGGCAGCCTTCTGATATCCTTCGCATATTGGCAGCCCTAAGGCTCCTTAGTCACTAGCTGGTATCTACGTTGAACTGAAATCCCAAAGTATACGGGAGCCTGATATAGAAAAACTCAAGTATTCTCAAGTTGAAGAAGTGTTCGATTTGAATTTCATTGCAGATCCTGCTGATATGCATTTATGTTGATCAAGTGTGTTTTGCAAGAGGAAATCTATAAGGAATCGTATCGGAGGGTGTCATCATGTGTAATGTCCATGGATGGACCCAATTGATCAATGAAGTCTCAGAATGGACTCTTTTGATCAATAAAGTCTCAGAAAACGGAAAAATGGGTGTAAGGGGTCAATTTTTTCCGGCTATCCGCTATTGGATGATCTTTGAGCTCATATGTACAATAACATTCTCTTCTTTAAACTCAGCTTCTGCGCACAGGTAGTTAAGGCGTCCAGTTGTGATCGTTAAAGGACTGAAAGGTGATGATCTGGAAGCGTATGCTAATATGCTTTCGTTGGATTCGGGTTGAATTGTATGCATTATGCATGCATAGCAACTTTGAAACGCTTCTTGATTAAAGGAAAAATGTTTTCTATGTTATTCTTCATTTTTCACGAGTAATATCTATTGTACTTTGAAGGTTACAGGTGACGACTGATGTCGGTAACAAATGTGTCACATTTTCTGGCTCATCAGCAGCAGCACCTCTTGCAGCTGGTGTACTTGCGCTGGTCCTAGAGGCAAAGTAAGTTCTTTACTACATATGACTTTGTGCCTCGGATACGACTCGAGTATTGTAATACAAAAAATCAGATTTCCCTTAATGGTCGGCATGGGAATCAAGAAAAAAAAGAAAAGAAACCTTCAGGCTATACATAAAACTACTGCGCGAAGAGGAGTGTTCTGCGACGAACAACACATGTATAAAATGCCCTTAGGTGAGCGACGGGGTGGCCCAAGTAATTTTGCTTCNGAGGCAAAGTAAGTTCTTTACTACATATGACTTTGTGCTTCGGATACGACTCGAGTATTGTAGTACAAAAAGGCAGATTTCCCATAATGGTAGGCATGGGAATCAAGAAAAAAAGAAAAGAAACCTTTAGGTTATACACAAAAGTACTGCGCGAAGAGGAGTGTTCTGCGACGAACAACACATGTATAAAATGCCCTTAGGTGAGCGACGGGGTGGCCCAAGTAATTTTGCTTCTACCCATTACACAAAACAATATCCAGAAAAGACTACGAATTCGTACAAGTACCAAAACGTATGCTGCACGAAGAATCGCACCATGCTTCCGAGATTGCAATATCGGCGACGTCTCATGGTCTAAACTTGTAATCATAGCACTTGAGTGAGGCTCAGTAATATGATTTTTCACCCATGAGGTTTGAGAATAGAGCTACAGGTGCCATTAGGAGCATAAGTGAAAGTGTCAACTTGCTCCTTTTACAGTTGAAGGTAAACAGGTATGGTCTACGGCATGAGATAACTCTCGGCTTTCGAGCGATAAGCAACTTTTAAGCTCGGGTTTAGAATTAATTATTTTAGGGCAAATGGTAGGAGACTGCGTAAGAGTGTGAGGTCGGAGTCGCTTTGTACATATCTACGTTGCGCTAGTTTCTTTGCCTTTCTTAGGTAGTTGTTAAGTTTTGAAAGATGCCTCAATTCAGTTGTTACTTTACTTTGCGTGTTTATTTGGTAGTGGAAGGAAGTGGAGGTTACGATAATTGTTTGCTCAAACGTTTTAGAGAGAGAAAAGTTGAACAATTCAGGAAACCGAACGACCTGAGTATGCTTAAGCGCTTTGAAAAAAAGCACAGCTTGACATCATAAGGGAAACAAACTTATGTTGCCGTTCCTTCAATGACACCTTAATTCGCTTGATCACACTCACCTAGCTTTTATATAGAAGATTAGCCAGGGAAAACAACACAGAACCGCCGAGTCTACTTATTTTGAAATCCTTTTTGGCTTAGGCGCTAGATCGATAACTGTTCCATTATTCNTTGACCTTGGAAGCTATTTTACACGGCCATTTGCATGACTTTCAGTCCTTCTCTATCGCAACGAGATATACAGCACCTGCTTGTGCGCACCAGCCACAGTGAACACCTCATGAGCTCTTCACCAGACTACTGGATTGCTAATGGAGCAGGTGAGCCAGCCCAGCAACATTCTTGATAAGTCTTACTGATGCAGTTACCTTGTCTGAGAGAACAAAGGCGCTAACCTGGCTGCTTGTTGGTTCATCCACCAGACCAGTGATGAGCCTCAGGGAGAGGCAGAGTCTGTAGTCGTCTGGTGGAAACCAGGAGCCACCTTTAACTTTGTTATGTTATGGTTATTTTTGGGTTCGCTTATTATTTCATCGCTTAACAAATTTCAATATGCTACACTTTGCTTATTGGTTCCAGGAGGACTGAACGGCCTGTGGAGCTCAGAAGTAAGAGTAGTGATCCGAACATTTTTGAGCGCCAAATACTTTTTTTTCTTCCTTTTCTCTTGATAGTTTCATTCCGGTCTACTTCTTCTTTATTGACTGGATGTGTTTCAGGACTGCATTTCTCCAGGTTTTTCGGCTTCGGTGTGCTGAACGCTTTACGGCTAACCACGTCGGCTCGGAACTGGAAGAGTGTTCCACCCATGTCGACATGCAGTCGACAGTTCAATGTTCTTCATGGGTTTGTTCCCTTGTCAGTATTGTTCTGGTCTCTCCGTTAACACAACTGGAGCATTTCAGAAACTTCAACGCAAATTCAACGTTGACGATAGAGTTACCGTTCGAAAGCTGCGCAGAAACTTCTGGCCAAGTGAACTATCTTGAACGGCTTCAACTTGATGCTTCCATTGAGCATACACGGAGGGGACTGGTTTCACTATTTCTAACAAGCCCAGCAGGTCAGTAAATGTATTTGAACTGGATTGATTTTTCTTTTCCCTTCTTCTTTGTCCCTCATCTACGACTACATTATTTACAATTCCACTGCTTATAAATATATTGGGAGACTTCTTCATCCACAATTTATTTTTGGCCATCATGAGAGTAGAATGCAGTAGACTAACAGCTATCCTTTTTGAGCAGGACTGTTTTTCTAGCACATCCTTCTTTCGAGGAGACCTCAGAGAATTTCGTAATGAAAGCTCGAAAGGAGTAAAGCGATCTACTGCGTCTCTTTCCTGCACCGTTTTTCAGTTTTGTCAGCTACGCCATTGATGAAAGCTGTAGGTCTCTGTACCGAGTGCAAAAGGCAAACCATTTATCTACCAGAAGCGGCGCCGAAATTCGAATTGTAGACAACATGCACACGTGTGACTTCGGTATGAGCTCTTTGGTGAAGGGCGGTCCTGCGCCCGATCTCCTCTTTCCATGAACCTGTCTGCTACACGTAGTGCTATAATCCTTGGTAATCAAAGAAGCGAATGGTCTTACAATTATTTCAAAATTTTGGAGTTTTTAATGCCATGATTCGACAGCATTGTTCCCATCAAGCGGCTGTTTATTTGAAGTCTTGTTTATTAATTTAAAATACATATCTTTGAAGGAGCTTCCATCAAAAGGTGAGGTATTCACGGGGCAAAAAGAATAATAAAAAATGCAGTGGATGGTTAAACCAAGCGCTTCTAATTGTCTTTGCAGGTACGACTGTCCAATTGCTTCAGCCAAGAAAGCACGATGACTCTCCCGATGGTCTCCAGAAGTGGCCTTTTATCAGCGTAGCACATTGGGGTGAAAATCCTCGTGGTACATGGAGATTTGAAGCCCACTCTATGGTTGGTGACGATGTTTCCGTGATCGCATAGACGATCATGATAGACAATCCAGCATGTTACGCCCTCGAATGATTCCGATCTTTCAAGAAGTCTAGCGTCTATTTTGTTTTAGGGTCACCGAGATTTAAAAGATGTTCGTGGATTACTAACTTCGGTAACGTTGACTGTGTACGGTACCAAAGACGATCCACTGAAGGACAACGCCTTCATTCTTGGTATCAAGTGACATTCATATTGTTTAACAATCGTGCTCTTCAAATCAGTATTATGATTAAATTCTGTTTATTTCATCACTCACTATGTTATAAAGGAACAATTGATATTTATACGACTTCAATATCAACTATGTGATCCGAAGAATCTTCGTCAAGCTTAAAATAATCCAGTTGAAGCTGGTGGGGTTTGTTTTGATTTAAAAAAGCTTTTCCGGTGGAAATACTGCAACATAAAATTGTGAAGGTTGCGCAGACTACGCCACTCAGTTGTGGAACCCCTGATGTTCTACTCAAGGCTTTATTTCCGTGGGAATTCTGTTTCCAAGAAAACTTCCCAAATTGTGGACAAAACACCTCGATTCTCTAGACGACAGTCTATCTTTAGAAAGTAGTGGGTGCCATTCTTAAACGAAGTTTTCAGGTAGTACTCCGGAGAAGCCTTGGAGGAACTCCTTTACTTGCCTATTTAGACAATTGTATTGCTTGATGGTAGATTATGAAGTGCTACCTAATCATTTTTACAAGTAACCCGAAGAGGTTATGTTGGAGATCATGTTGATTAGGGTGGGTCAACGTCACCAATCATGTATTGGGCCGCCTGTCGTCATTGATTTCGCGCCTCTCATATCGACAAACCTCGACGTGTGCTCAATTGTTTTTTGTTTCTCTGATTTTCTTTTCGGCTCACTTCTCTTTTTTTTTGCGGAAAATTTCTCATCGGGTCACGATTTAGCTACTGATCGTAGCATTTGGGGGGGGGGGGGGGNCTTCTCCTTTTTTGCGGAAAATTTTTCATTGGGTCACGATTCAGCTACTGATCGTAGCATTTGGGGGGAAAATCTTAGAGGAACACAGAGATTCGATGACCACTTCCTGAGTAGTTAGGAGCTATTGAAAAACGTAATACATTACAGTGGGATACTAAACGGTTTTGATCTTTATGGAAGCCCATTCCGATTTCTCATTCTCCATAATGAGTCTTCTCTAGTCTTCGAACGTCTTAGCTGAGAGCTAGTCTTCGTTGTGTTGTCTGTGAGAAAGCTGTTACTTGCTAAAATACCAAAGTATGAACATGAAACTAGTACGCAGAATAGAATTTCATACTAATTTGTTCCTTACTCACTTAGCTACATATATTCAGTTCATTTGCGTGGACCTCTGATGTGCGAGATGATGTTTTACTCAATGTCCTAAACCTGAGAAGCCTGTTACGAACAAGGCTTCCGAACCCGTTTCATTTGTCATAAATATCGTCCTGCAGAGGAAGCCAGTGGTTGGAAAGCGATGACACACCGTGTATAAGTGAGCAGAGTGAATCAAAATAGCCACTATTCTGGCTCCTACTCGAGAGGTTTACGCTGATGGTGGTACATCAGGCATGACTCAGTACCTGCAAAGATGAGTTCAGAGGTTCAGAGTTTCGGATCTTTGAGAGAACTTTCGGGAACAAGTTCTTGGCAGCAAGAGCCCAGGTTTTTGGTAAAATTCAGGAGGAGCTGCTAATGCTAACTATGTGGAGTCCTGTTTGGAGACAAGCTGAGAAGCTAGCAACATTTCGTGAGAGTAAATCTCTGCCAAGTTTTCTTTCCGCCAAGAGGTGGGGTTGAGATGGGTGGGGGCACTGTTCATTTTAAATACTGAGCACACTGGAGCGTGGAAAAGGAGGGGTAGTAAATAATTCAGTAAAGTAATATATAATCATTAAGTCTTACAAGATGTCGACTCATGATCAACATTTCGGTCTCTGCCGGGGCTCGAGCCCGTGGTTGTGCGTCCCGCTCACTTTGCTCCTCACCCTACTGAGACCCAGCTTGCTTTCGCCTTCTTATAGTTTCCATGCCACAGCTTAACAACACTCAGACGTACAAGTGGTAAGCAGCTCAGCCTGAGCAGCTAACCAATCATTAAGGCAAACAAAGTATAATTATAACTTTAATATTATTTCAATTAGCAAAAGCTTAGAAAGTTTGCGGCCTTGGCCAGATGTTGTTGAAATCCTCGCGTGCCACTTACCGTCACCCACCTTCCCTCTAATTTAGTTCGATACTTGTCTATGGACAGAGAGAATCTTCCTAATCTCCATAGCGTCAGTGAACAAATCGCTCATGCGATTTATGAAACTACTTGGGAGCTAGAACTAAACAGTATTCTTTTGAAGGATTTTTTTTCAAAAGTAAAACTTGGATTCCAATGTAACTCCCCTTCCTTTTAACCATTCTATCCCACTGTCAGTGTGAGTTTATTTACCGGCATGTGTGATGGTGTCAAAGTGCTTCACCGTGTGTTGTTGTGTTGTTGATGTTGTTGTGTGTCGGCGTGATGTGGGTTTGTATGACTGTAACAGTGTGTAAGTGTGTGGTTGTGTATATATTCAACGTGTCTGTGTGTCTATATGTATATATTGATCGTTCTGTTGGACCTTGGGGAAGTCCCCGACGAGAACATGTGCCATGGATGGTTGACAGTCGATAAAAGTATGGCACCTGTATTTATTACCCACACACCAAAAAGTTCTTGAGCAAATTGGAAAAAGTGCAGAATGGCTTTTCTAGGAAACTATTCATCAGAACCTTAGGTTTTAATTATTCCAGCATACCTCGTGGCCTCATTAGGAACAAGTTACTCAATTTGGATCCATTATCCTTAAGGCTGAGGAGGAACGATATTCTCATGGTATATAATATTCTTCATAAACGTGTTGATCTCGGTAGTGACGCCTTCTATAAACTAATGCCATCTACTACGAGAGGGGAAAAGCTCAAGCTTTCTTTCCGAAAACCACGTTCAACAGTAGGGCGCAGGTTCTTCACGGTTCGCGCGGGCACAGAGTTCTTGAAAATGAGCAAGACTGTGCAAATTTCTTCTAAATTTGCTAGCTTTAGGAGAGCGGTATTTCATTATCTCCATCGCGCCAATAAATAGGGCATAGTTTCCGTTATGTAGATCGTCATGTTCTGTCTAACGTTCACTGTTATTTGTGTTTTGGTTTGTTGTTAACTGCTGTTTTATTTCTACATGCTGCACATGTGTTTGGCATGTAATAAATGGTAAATGGTAAAAAGGCGCGAAAGCCAGCCATCTGGCAGCCACCGCACCGTTGGGTCGGCCCGTCGGTGCGGTGGCTGCCAGATGGCTGGCTTTCGCGGCTGCGGTGGTTTTACGTTCAATTGATTTAATGTCAATAAAGGGCGGGAAATTCACTGCCTATCCAGCACCAGTCGTTTCTCGATGCCAACCGGGCATCGATTACACGTATCTCCGCTCGTTTATCGTCCTAACTTCTTTTTGAGTTTACTGAGAAAATCATAAAAATCCCTTGAGGGAATCGTATTTATTACTTATGCCGTCACGACCATTTGAAAACCTTTTTAAACAACTCACTTGTCCTTTTTCAGATAATTTGTAATCTCAGAATGTTTGCTGAATGTGCGGATGATACTGAATAGATATGAGTATTGATTCCTATTTCACTCCGGAATGAGAATCCCGTAACGTGTTGTGAAAGCCAATCGCTCCTGTTTATTATTTGAAGAGTATAAGAGAGGCTCTAAGCTGGACTTTTGCCCTTTGTTCCTGGCTTAATAGGATTCGATCAACAATTCCGAGAAACCTCTACTCAGAAAACCTCCGAAGTGGTTCTGTAATAACTCGCAGCAGCCCGTTGGACTGGGGTGTTCCCCAATGATCGTGATTGATTTTGGGGTTCAAAGTTCAAAGTGCAAAGGGGTCGGTCCGTTCGGTCCAGTCCATCGTCTACATCCATCGATTGTTTTTTTCCCTTCTTTACCCTTCGCCTTAATTCCTTCACCCTTTTTTGTCAATAAATTACTTCACAAAGAGTTCCCCGCGGAACTCCTCATCGCTTGAGATGTGGACTTTGATGTTCACCATTTATTTGAATGTCACTCGTATTGTTGTCCAATAAAAGTTGTTTGGTCCTTTCTTTTGTATACATTTCTGACCGAATTTTCTGATGAATGAACAGCACCTTTTTGAGTTCATCTTTGAGGAGGCTCTCGACAAACAAGATTGTCCAGTAGCTGTGAAGTATTGTAACTATCCTCGTGGGTTGAAAGGTCATTTTCTCCAAAGAAATGATACTGTCTATGTTCCTTGAAAGAATTCAATCAGTATTACGTTCGAGTCTCTAGGGTGCTTCACGGTGCTGAACCTCGTCTCATACAGGTTTCCAGTAAAGCTCAAGAGAACGCAGTAGCCAATGAATGTTTGCTGAATGTGCGGATGCTAGTGAAGGGATTTATACATAGAATTCTCTTCCAGCCTGAATTAAGAACTCCGCAGCGTACTCTTGAAGTCAAGCGCTCCTGAGACTTTTTGAAAAAAAAAAGAAAGAATGTGGTAACTGGATTGTTGCTTTTCCGGCGCATTAGTATACGATCAACAATTCCGAGAAGCATCTCTACTCGGAAAACCTCCGAAGTGGTTCTGTAATAACTCAATATCTGCTCCGCAGCAGCCCGCTGGACTGGAGTGTTCCCCAATAATCGTGATTGATTTGGCGTTCAAAGTCCAAAGTGCACAGGGGTCGGTCCTCTGGTCCAGTCCATCATCTACATCCACTGATTGATGTTAATCTTCTTTATCCTTTGCCTTAATTTCCACTTCGACCTCGTGGCGATATTCTACTCAATGGTTTCTTTCCTGGGACGTCGGTTACTAACAAATTTTTTCCAATCTGCGGATGGAACCTTTTGGTTCTTTAGGCGGGACAGCAGTAACTCCGTGGGATCGCCACGCTACTGCCTCATTCATGTCCTCGAGCAGGAAGCTTTCTATTATCTTCTGGCCTACCGGAACAATTTTGTATTAGCATTTTTCGAGTAGTAATACAGATTCAGGACGTACTGCCTCAACTGTTTGTGGCAGCTTGAACAGGTAATAGAGAAGATCAACTTGGTTAGGGTAGGTTAATGTCTACAATCATAAATCGGGCTGCCTGCCATCGATTTCAGGCCGCCCATACTGGCAGGTCTCGACGTTTCTTCAATTT